CCTTGTCTCTCGTGGGAGCCTCACGGACGAGGCTGACGGCTTTCAGCCCCCGAGGGAGGAACTCGGTTGAGGGTAAGGAAGGGTAAAGAAGTTATTTTGGAAGCGGCTCTCTTTTGCACCGAGGGGCTCCGGTTTAAAGCCTCCCCTGTTGCCTTGCCCAGTTTTTGCTGCAGGTTTCAAGAAATAATGTTTATACGGTGATGGCCCCGGTGCTTAGGGATCTTCAGGAGTGATGGCACAACTTAGACTCACTTGATTTATCCAGGTCTCACTCGGTGACCTGCTGTCCTTAACCTGAGACGCGGTAGACACATTCTGTGTTTCAGTTACAAAACACTTCCTTGGTGTTTGGAACAGGCTGAGGGCATTACTTTGTCTTCATCCTCAGTCACATAAAAGCACAAATGCTACGTCCTATAACAGTTGCTTTTGTACCATATTTTCCTCCAGTCTTAGCAGCCTTTGGAGCCAGAGTTGATGGGAAGAAGCTGACTGTTAGCTTTCCAGTAGCTGTGACATTTCAAGACCTACCCTACTTGATATTTCTGGTTTCCCTCTCCTTTTGAGAGCAGCTACATTAAGGTGTAAATTTACCTCTGAGATTAGCTGTGCCTTTGTGATCTTTTGACCCAATAAGTGGCTGACAGAGCTTACTCCCATAACTGAAGTGTGGGTTGCTTTATAGCTAGAGGGTCCTCGGTGTAGTTTCCTTCAGATCTTTATAGGCTGTCTGTTGCAGGGGGTGTTGGCAGCTAGAGGCTTGAAATCACGCTGTACCCCAAAAATACAATGTTCAGACCCGATAGGCTGTTCTTCCAGCATGCCAGAAAGGGATAAGATTTTTCTGACTGCCTGAAATCTGGTGTCCTGTCGATCTAGCAAGGTATATCCTTAAAAATAAGTGTTATGAATTCACTACTCTATTAGGATATTTTTTGAGTGGGGAGGGAAAAATGGATGAGTGAAGGGGGAAGAGGCCCCTGGGGGAGAAATTCTTAATACTGCAGTGCTCCTTCTTTCCATATCTGCAGGATTTCTGCCTAGAACCTTCTCTGGCCTTGTGATCCTTACCATTTCTGTACAGAATTTAAGGCATAGCACAAAACTGCAGACTGACAATGTGAACATCTAACTGAGGGTTATAAAGCTTGAAGTTTTATTCCTGTGCTCTAGTAACTATCTGTTGTTAAAACTGACACCAAAGACTTCTGTGGAATGTATTTGCATCTCTGACAGTTGATTCCCAAAATACAGGAATCTTATTTTACACTATTTCCATATTTTATACATAAGTAAATAAAGCACGAGTTTGCCCTTTTGCTAATACGGAGATGCAAATTTAGTTAATGCAAGTTTGTGAAACCCATTGTGGCCCTTCCACAGAAGTCTAATTTTAAAGTATAGCTATTTACTGTTGTAAATCTTTTCAGAAGAACCTTGCGTTCTCCTCAGAAAGATAAAATTTACGTTTTTAAAAAGATTTCTTAAACTAAGCTATTCAGACTGGAGGTAGCCTCCGACTCTCTCATGTGCAGAGTGCATGCATATATAGTTCCTATCTGGGAGGTGCGATCCCAGCTGCTGAAGTGGTACACAGCCCCTTGTGTTTTAAAACTGCAGAATGGTTTCATTTTTTTTTTGTATCTAATACACATGTGAGTAGTAGCTAGTACATACAGTAAAATGATTATTAATTGTCAGTGTTACAAAGTGACTGTATGTATAGAAACCCTGAACTGATTGTCTCTTGATAACAATGTATATAGGAAGAGAGGGCAGCATTAACAGGTGACAGAATAGCCTTACAGATGCTATAATGTGCTTTTTAAAAAGGAATACTTAGAAACAACTGTTGTGAAATTTACAGTTGTTGTCCTCCCTGAAGATTCTTATTTGTTTAATAACACTGTTTTTGCTGTGGAGCTTTGATTGCTACATAGCGTGGGCAACATATGCAGACTGAGCTTCTATTTCTGATCCATCGCACAACCTCATTCTCACAAGTTAGCTCTGTTTCAAAAATACCACCATTTCTACAAGTGAACATTCAGTTACTAAAATAAAGTATTTTCTCTTTATATATTTTCTGAAAGCAGCCCTTCCTATTTTGTCTGAGTTTCTATAAGCTTTTGTGAAATGTACATCAGAAGAAAATTGGCACTTCTAAAATCTCATTTTCTGGTGGAGCTGGCAGCAGCGCAAAAAGCCTTAATATTGATCCGCTGCATAAATAGATCTGCTTATAAGATTTATTCCTTTGTTTGTTTCCAAAAGCATCAACAGTGTTATAATATGGATAAAAAGAATTACTAGTTGTCCCTTGATATTCATGTTAGCGGTTTGGAGCTCTTATTACTTGGCATCTCTGCTGCACATCTGCTTTGGAGGAGAGAGGAGGGTTCCTAATATCCCATGCTATTGAACTTGGTAGACACATGTTTTTTGGGTAGGTGGGTTTTGTTTTGTTGTTGTTTGTTTTGGTTTTTTTTTTAAAAAAACAGCAGTAAAGAAAAACAAAAAAGCAAGTATGTATCACAGTGTGATAAGAATTGCGGAGGCTTAAGAAATGTCAGATGTTACCCGGAGTTTCTGGTTCATTCACGTTTTAGGAATCATATGGCTTTGAGAAAGGCATCCTTCGCAATAAGAAAGCTTACAAAGGTTTTTCGTTTTAACTCTTGTAAAGCAAAGAGAGGAAACACAAGTGTTTGTATCATACTGATAGAAGAAATTTTTGTCAACTATGGTGACATATATTATTTTGAGTATATTTAAACTCTGCCAGTAATACAGGGGATGCGGAAGGTATTTAGGAGCCATGTCCTGTAGATATGCAGAACGTGAGTTCTTGAAATGCCTCAGAAAGATTTTTTTGCTTCAAGTTTAAAATAAACATGGCTCCTGCTCAATTAATCCTTTAAAAGGTAAAATTTCACAGCACAGTGCAAACCCCTTGTCCCATTCCTGAAGACCACCCTGCCACAACTGGTAGCTGATCAAACAAACCTCTGGGATGAGAGGATGCCTTGAGGTTGCATATAGTCCTTTTACCTGCTCAGTACCCGTGTCCCATTGCAATGTGGGCATCAAAAATTCACTCGGTTCTTTTGTTGACTGATACTGAGAGAAGTTATTGCCATCTATGTTAAAATACAATAATAAATGAGTGAATGAGAATGGAAAACCTGTAGGATCCCTTGGTCCAGGCACACACCAGCTTACTTGCCCAGAGCAATCTGGCTGCCTTCTGGTTGCTGTTTGCCTCCCATGCAAAGGCTGCCGGGATGTGCCTCTGGTGGGAACACCTCATCCTGATGCTCAGCAAGTGGAAGGGTCCCCCAGCCCTAACCTTCCTGAGTGTACATGGCTACTCTGAGACAGAGACAGCCAAACTGACTTGTGGGCCCCTTGGGTGAAAAGCAGCCTGGCACAGAAAGGCAGAGCTGTTCGTGCTGTTGTCCAGAAGGATTTTTGTGTGGATATATGTCTCTTATTTAAACTTGTCTTGTGTCTAGTTCATAAATGCAAGTTTTTCAAATGCACAGTGTGTAAGGCAGCTGTGCCTGTGAGCAGGGTGGCAGATGGCTGGTTGACAGGGTTGCTTTTCTGGTAGCTTCTAACAAGCTGTAGAGGTCCTGGACTTAATTTCTGAAAGAAAATGCCAGCTTCAGTGGTTGCTTTTACTGTTTTCTTCCAGCTGGTGCATGCAACACTGACCTTGGCTGTCATAGTCACTGCCAACATCAAAATGTAGATGTGGAAGTAGCCACCATGGAAGGAGAGGGAAAAGGATGGGAGCGCACCCATCAAAGCCAGAGAGTAAACAACTAACATAGTTATTACCTCAGAACATAAGGCTTGTTGTAGCGTGACAGGTTTAGACAATAATGCCCTACGTTTTTTCAAACCCTGACAGGACAGGCACGCAGAAATTGGGATGATCTGCATGTTGCCAGTCTCTCCTGTCACCTGAAACACACTTGTGCACCTGGATGCTCTGGCTGTTTGCCTTGGTGTCTCACCGTGGTGGGGCTTTGCTTTGCTTTGCAAAAGGCAGGTCAAAGTGAGCTTGCTCCCTATGAGTAGACCACATGTGGAAGGAGTGTACTCTTTTCAGAAGGGAAAGAAAAATAAGGTTGTGAAGTGTAAAGTCTGTTAGAAAGCAGATGCAAACTTTCCTTGCTTAATTTGGCCATGGCACCAAAACAAATACTGTATCAGAGCACTGTTTACTTTCAGGTCTTTGGGCAGGTTTATGTGTTTGGCTAATTAAAAACCCAAATGAAACATACATAATATAGGAACATAAATTTGCTTTTCCCTTCTTTATGAGTATTATATTTCTGAATTTGTTTTGGGCTTTGAGAGTTAATGTGCACTACTTCATAGTGGCAGGCCTTTCTTTGGTTAAACATCTCAGAGACATGATGTGGAAACATCCAGCTAGTGTCAACAAGTGTAGCACGAACCTGGAGAGGGATTGGACCTGTCATTTGTGCAGTTTCTGATGCCCATTTCAGGCACCGTGAGGTTCATTAAAGAACCCTGCTCTTCAGGGAGCGGCAATAGGAGGGATCATCCAACATACAGTATCAGAAATGGCAAGTGACAGCTAACATAGCTGTCAAGATTTTTCGTCTTATTTCTGATCACCAGATACAGCATTTCACCCCCTCTCCAAGAGGTTTTAACTGTGTAGAAAAATGGCAACGGTTTTTGTCATACAAATGAGATTGAATTAGTCCATTCGGAAAACCCATGCTCATTTTTTCTGGGTGTTTTGCTGAGAAGCCCATGATTTTCCTCAACAGAGGGCTGCTGACCCCGAAGCTTTGCTACTGCCTGGTGTTTGAGCGTCACAATTATAATTAACCCGTTTTGTTGTTTTCCCCTACAAGGCATATTTGTTCAGAGGGCTGGGGATTGTTTAGGAAGTTAGTGCCAGTCCTCAGATGTTTGTGCTTTCTGGGGGCGGAGGGAGGGACAACTGCTGTTATCACAAGCTTGTTACACACTGTAAGGAAGGACATGAAGCAGCAAGTTTTTAAAGTAGTATTAATCTCTTCTGTGGTTTCAGAACGCCTCTGGGAGCCTCCCTGGATGAGCAAAGCAATCCTCTATTGAAGGGTAAGGAAAGGCTTTACCTACTGAAGTCTTTTGCTGGGAACAGTGCTTTCGTGGATGATCACCTGAGACCTCTGCTCTTTAGCAGTGGCACAAACCACAGCCTAGCTGGTATAGCTGAGTTATTCTCGTGAGTCAGTTGTGCCCGAGAAACTGGAGAAGGGGGAAAAGATCCTGAATAAGGCTTTCTGGAGAGTTCAGTAAGTCTTAAAAAAAAACCCTGAAATGTGCAGAATGGGGAGGTTGTAATTTCCTCTGAGCTGGCGAGCATTAGGTAGTCTTTGCCTCCAATAACTCTGGTTGCCACACCTGAAAATTTTACTATCTGAGCAGGTCTGAATACTAAGTTCAAAGTACAGTGAGAATGTGCAGGTAGTGACAGGGTGCAGAGGAATTAGTTGCTGTGCCTGGAGTCTTTGCTTCAACTCTTAATCTGGTACAGGGAGAGAGGGGAATGCCTAAACTGGACTCACTCGGGATCCCCCTGGTAAGATGTCTGGAGGATAGATAACGTAGCAGCAGATGTGTTGGGCAGTACCTCCAGATTCCCACTTGCAATTAATTTGCTTGCAGGTTGACTTGGGGATGTTTCTGAGCACAAAACTAAAGCGGTGTTGTAGTTCTCTTTCAAAATAATTTCTCTGTGTTCTGTTCTTAGTGTGTAATGCAGGGATTGTAAATATAGTCTGGTTATATCCTGCTGTATCAGCTGAAGCATCTTGCTAATATTTTCAGTTAAGCTATTGGAAGGAAAACACTGCAGCATTCTAGTTGTTGAACTGCTAACTGTACATTTTCAGGCATGCTGGTGAGAAATGGAGGAAGTTTTGAAGATGACTTATCCCTGGGAGCCGAAGGTGGGTGTGGCAGGATTGTGACTTTTTCTAACCAAAAAAAAAAAAATCTTCAGTCATCTTATTTTTATTTTGAAAGATACTATTTCCCTTTTGTTCAAAGGCAGTTGGTAAAGCTGGCTAGAAAAACAGCATGTACCACATAGAAAAATGCAGGAAGGTTTGCTATTTGTTTTTTAGACTGTTGCTGGTGTTAAACATTCTGGTCTAACCAGGTCAGAGGCAGCCCTGATTTCACTTCTGGCTCCTCATTTTAATGCCCACAGCAGCAGCAGAGCCTGGAGCACTCACTGAGTCTGTGAGAAAGTGGTTTCTTGTACTTGCTCTTCTTGTCCATGGGTTACTCTTGGAAGCTGTGCATGCCCCACTTCCACTGAATCTCTTGGGAGTGGCGTGTGGGGGCTTTGGAAAGAATGAATGAAATTCTGTCAGCCAAGAGGCAAACCTATTAAGGGCTAAGTACTTTTAAAAATAAAAAGCACCAAAGCTGAGTAAGTATTTTAGATTTGCCATGATATACAGCCACGATATACACTTCGCTGTTGCTAGCTGCTTGCCTTTTCTTTCTCTTCCCTTTTTTAAGGGGAAGGAGGTGTGTCTCTTCATGGTGGACGACTTTGCAGAAAAAGACTTTCAGCCTCTCTGTTGGTCATGGGCTAGAGGTGTCCATAAACAAACAAACTCACCATGGATCCTTTTCTAACAGCAGCGTTTTGAAATGAAATAGCAAAAAAGGGTCTCACAAACCAGGTCGTGGGGTTATCTGCAGGATAGATGATACAAGACAATATCTGTTTTCAGTGAAGAAGAAAAAAAAAAAAAAAGCAAAACCACTCCCCCCATTTATCTTTTAATGTTTTCTGCAACTTGTATAGTAGAAAGCCCTTTTTCCACAGCAGTCTTGCCAGTGGTGTTGAAGTAGTGGGACAGGGCCTGGAGGAAGGAAATACTTTTAATTTTTAAAGATTCAAGACTTCTGAAGAAAACAGTTGATCTGATAATGACCTTGATCTGATAATGATGGAGAAGCAGTAAATGAGTCCCTTACTGCAATAGATTAAATAGGATTAAATTTTTTTCTGACAGTCTTTTCCTCATGTTAGATTGCCTGCAGCACAAAGATTTTGTAGGAAAAGTTTCTTTGTAATGATAATCCAAGCTCTGAGCATGTGACCAAGAATACAAGAGTCAGTACATTTTAAAATGTCATGTTGCTTTTTCTTTTCAATTTTTCCTCCCCCTGTCATTCCCAGGGATTCCTATTTTTTATGAACCTTTAGCATGATTTAGGCAGAAGGTCGTTTCCCTCCTTTTCAGATGACAAAGGTCCCAATACGAGAATTGCTGGTTGATTTTCCTGGGTAAGGATGTGGGTGTTTTTGCTGGGCTTTGTTTCCCATCTATGAACAAGGGAACAACAGAGCTGCTTGGAGCAGTGCTGCGTGCCCAGCCAGCCCCTTGGAGGCTGGTGTGAATGGCCTACCCTAGTGCATCTGTGACTGCCTGAATCCAGATATGAGCCAGAGCCCTGTGTGAATGGTACAGAAGGCATTGGGCAGGGTCCTGTAACCCCAGTCCCTAAATGAGCTGTTAAAACCCATGGTTTAGCTGTTCACACTAGTTACCAGCTAATCCATGTAGATATGTTTACCTTCATATTATAGGCAAGAATATTAAAAAAAAAAAAAAAAAAAAAAAAAGATGTGGCATCTGCATTTTGTATACATTTAAGTTTCTTTGTGACACCTCTGAAAAGGAGAGGTGGTGAGATTTCCATGTTTTGCTCGAAGTTGCTGACTGTACCCTGCTGGCACAGTGAGTTGAGATGCAGAGTTTTCCTGGCAGTGCATTCGACATTACTTTGCTCTTTTGTAGCTGATTCTGAGGGCTGCTATAATATACGCACGCTCCTTGCCTGTCTCCTGGGGCGAGTTTGTTAATGTCGAGTCGCCTCTTTGGGGAACACATAATTTAAGTCTGGGGCTCAATCCCTGGCTTGACAGGGTATTGATTTTCTGAAAGAATAATGTTGCCTGGGATGTTCCTGTGTGGAGCTGGGCTGATCCAGCTGCAGAAAGTGCTGACTGCCCTCTTGGAGGCTGCTGACCAGGTGCTGGGTACCTGGTGACCACCCTCCCTTTGGAGCCCCCTGGACTGCAAGCGCAGCCGCTGGTCCCATCAGCACTGCAGGCTTCGCTTGGCTGTCGTCAGTGGATTGCATGGCTCGGGCAGCCGGGGCTGTGCTCCACGTCGAGAGTGGTCTGTGCTAATGAATGAGAAGACTAATGAATATAGTCTCAGTACCTGGCCGTGGGGCCAGCCACCTTTCTTACGTCGTTTACTTTCTCTACCAGAGCAATCCTCTCATGTCTGCTTCTCCTCCTCCCCTTCCTGCCCGGGAACAGCCCTGCAGCTGGTAATCGTGTCTTCAGTTACAAAGCAATAAATGGTTTATATAACAATTACTAGCTTACTGCATGTTACATTTCTAAGTTAATATGATTAATGACAGTATGTAAACATGTGTCCATGTGAGATTTTATTTTAAACAGCCTGACTAAACCAGATCATCTTTATATCAGCTGTATACTAGAAACCCTTGACAATCACATTTATACGGGAAGAGAAAAATCTGGTTTATGCAGGAGTATTGGTAAACGTGCTTGCTGCCTGCTTCTTCATACCAGTTGTTGGAACTGTAATTCTGAAGAGGTCTGTGTGTAACAACTTCTTGTTTCCTTACAGCTAATCATCTACAGAGTGATACCCAAATGGAAACATGGTAAACATCTTTTTGTTTGTTTGTTTACTTCAGGGAAATGTTTATACTGGAGGGCAGGAGGGAGAGGGGGCAGTGGAAGTCATGGAGGCTACCTCAGAACTAAAGCTCTTCTGCTCAAGTGTGTTTACATGAGAGGGAAGAAGATACAGATAACACAGAAACAGTCATTAGGAGGTGCAGAAAAAAAGCATATTTTTATTTTTTCAGCAGACTTGATGTGTAGATTTTGGGGTATCAGGAGGAAAACAGAAATGACAAATCTAAGTAACTTAGTATGATTTACCTTCTTTGACTCACTGGTCCCTCAGCATTTTCGGAAATTTCAAGGGAAAATTACCTTTCAAAGCAAATGTCCTTTGGGAGTGAGGCAAAAAAAGACTGAGAGAAAAGAGGCTCCTGCTTTACAGGGAGAGCTTCTGAATACAATGTGTGCTGAAACTAAAATCCCATTGAGACTTCAGCAAATACCAGCACAGCCTGTGTGGGCAGCATCCTTGCTATACTCCTCCTGAGCTGGGCTCCATAAATATGCTTTTAGGTGAATCCTCTGTCTTTGTTTTCTCAGTGGTTGTTCTGGAATGTGTGTGTTAGGATTCGTACAGCAAAATTCACGCTGGGAAAGTTTGTCTCCCAGAGAGATTGGCAGTAACAGTACATTTGAGCCCAAGGTACCCCCTAATGCTGAGGAATCTTCTCCAGATACAGGGAGGAAATAGTTTGGGGTTGGGAAAGAAACTGGCGGTCTGGGTTGGAGCTTGTCTTGCACCATTTCCTCCAGCCTGGAGCCTCTTCAGCTTCCCTGGCCACCTCCAGGGTAGCTCGCAGCCTTGCGCTGCTGGGGGGTGGCAGCTGGGGGTGATGGGGAGCTGCGTGCCGGAGGCATGGAGCGGTGGTTCTGTTGAAGAAGGCAGCAGCACGGGCAAGGCAGCGAAAGCAGGGCAGCGCGGCTTACCCGAGGCCAGGCTTCCTTGCTGGAGGAGGGTGGGATCGGAGAGGGTGGGGCAGCAAGGGGAGACCAGGGATTTGTTTTCTCAGCTTGTATTTGCCTTCAAATTCTTACCGTCTATGTACATTTGTACTGAGGCGTCCCAGGGTTCGCTTTTGTTATTGTATTTCAATAAATGACATGGCTAATATAAACCAGATAACGCTGAAGGGGAAAAGAGAAATTCAGCAGCACTGGAGGCTTAGCTCTCCTCTGAGACAGAGAACTGAGTCCCGGAATGAAAGGGGTTTATCGCAGGAGTCTTTGTTTGTGTTGACAGCAATGGTGTGCTGGCAAAGGAGAGGAGGCTGCAGTTCCACCAGAAGGGGAGAAGTATGAACTCCACCGGGTCTGGAAAAAGCAGTGCAACTGTTTCAAGGTAAAAGAGTACTATGCTTTGAAGGTCATGGCACAGTTCAGTGGAATCTGGCTGGGTCTTGCTGGCAAAACTTACTACTTCTGTTCCTCAGTTAAATGGACTTGGTTTGATTTCTGTGCATTGTTGCATGTAGTAGCTGAGACGGGAATTTTCATTTGGTTGCTTGAAAAACTGCTGTTTGTTTTCAGTTGTGGTTTGCAGTAAATACTGACAAATGGGCCTAAACATTATAAACATCTGAAATTTTAATGACATTTTAAAATCAGAGCTCTGCAGAATAAGGACTGACTTTATAAATTACAGGATTGAATCCAACATGTGTCTGAGCCAATGGCTCTGGTGATGGGAATCAAAACTTCAGATGCAGAGATTTCCACAATTATTTCCTAAAGTAGGCTGAGGTGTGGGAGTCAAAAGTTCAGTAGATCAATCTGGCTACTGGGCTGAATTAGCAGTTGAACAATGGGGACTGGGTCTTAAAAGGAAACAAGCAGATAATTAACATCTTCTCATTTGTCTAGTGTTTCTGAATTACTGGAACTTTATGAGGAAGATCCTGAAGAAGTGCTCTATAACCTTGGGTTTGGAAGAGATGAACCAGATATTGCTTCAAAAATTCCAGCGAGATTTTTTAATTCATCTTCATTTGCCAGAGGGATAGATATCAAAGTGTTTTTGAATGCCCAGATACAACGCATGGAAGTGGAAAATCCAAATTTTGCTTTAACAAGTAAGTATGTTTTTGAAGCAAAGTTTATTTTAAAGTTTTTTCATTATGTGAACAACCCCAACAGAAGGGGTTGTTCTAATACTCTGGCAAGCCTCCTTTACAGCCTGAAGACCAAATTCCATTCAGAATCCATAATAAAACCTTTGCTTGGTCTTAAAAATGGCAGGAGGTGATCATCAGTGTTGTACACCTTGGGGTGAGGGGAAGGGGTTTATAGTGGGGGAGGGAAAGGAGGAGTATCCTCTTAAGATATACTGCCTTGTGGTTTGTATCATTCCTATCTCTTGCTCCTGATCTTGTCTTCTGTTGTAGCTTTAGAGCACTGAGACAGATAGCAATATCCATCTGTTTCTTGTGTTCTTCATTATCCGGGTGGGATTTTTGAAAGCTGTCAGCAGCGACCTACTTCTGTTGTTGCTGAAATCTGGGCCAGTATTTCTGTTGACTTGGACATGAGCTTTGTTAGGTCAGTATTGAGCGCTGCTGAAATGAGAGCATAGCTGAAATGTCCTCTTGTAGTTGTAGATGGAGAGAGCAATGCGAGTAACCCTTTTCTTCCTAGGATTTTGTAAATTAACTTGCACTTGCATACCCATGTCCCTTTTTTACTTTGGGAAAACTTTCCATACTGTTTTTGTACATTTAGTAAGGACTCTTGAGAATGTTTTCCCATTTTTTCATACTGTGTGGTATCGCTTTCATGTTACAGGACTATGTAGCGTAGGGGCCCTCGTATAAGTAGGAGATTTGAGGGGGGTGGTGGGCGGAGGTTATGATGGAAATTCGCTCTCCAGATCTAAAGAGCTGTCTTTGAGAATTCAAACCATCACGTAGAGATGGATCAACAGCTCTGGGATATGATGTCAGCAAAAGTCCTCATAAACTGCCTTATGTCTTGTTCTTGTGCAGGTCGTTTTCGTCAGATTGAAGTGCTTACTACTGTGGCCAATGCTTTTTCTTCTTTGTATTCTCAAGTCTCTGGGACTCCGTTGCAGAAAATTGGTAGTATGAATTCAGTGTCTTCCAGCAAAGAGGCATCCAGCCCTCCCCCTTTAAATCGCAGCAATACAGCCAGTCGGTTAATGAAAACCTTGTCAAAGCTCAATCTGTGTGGCACACAGCAAGCCGATGGTAGTGGCTGTTCAACTCCTTCACCTGTTGAAAAAGGGAAAACTTCAGCTGAACCAGGGAGTGAGGAAAATGATGTTAAAAATGAATCTAAATTGTCAAAATACTCTAAAAAGAAAGACTCTCCCTCTTTTTTGGCTACTGTAAAGGAGGAGATAGCCAATAATCAGATAAATGCTGCGGAAGCACATAAACCTGCAAACATTCCTGCTGGGACTGATGATAAGCAAGAGGATACTGTGCCTCCAGCAGATGTGCAAAGCAGCAGGTTGGCAAGTGCCCAGGACAGACCATGTGAAGAATCTAGTCTTTTGGACTTGCCAAGCCTCAGCAGCAGTTCCAGCGCATCCAACAGCAGCACCCCGACTCAAAGGCTGCCCACGGCATCACCAGGTAGAGACCCCTGCGCTCCCCTCACAAACCCGTCCATAGTAAATCTAATGCTGCAGCAGAAGGACTCCTTTGAGATGGAAGAGGTAGGTGGAGATACATAACTTTGTTTTTGCATATGGTTTACGTAACTTTCTGGCTGCCAGCAGAGGAATGTTCCCTCCTGTGTAGTTGACAGTGTTTTCTCCAGGAATACTTTAAATTCTCCAAGTGATAAGACAGTTACTGCTTGCTCTCTGTAAGCTGCTCTAATTGATCCTCGTAATGAAATAACTTGCTGCTGCTGTTGTTGTTGTTCCTGAGTCAGCAGGAAAGTTCTCATTCATCAGCAAGCGCAGGTAATTGTAATTACTGGCATAACTGTGAGGAACATTTCCCGTGGAGGCAGATCTAGATTAGACTTTGCATATATAAAGGCCTTTGGTTTTAAATTTTTACTTTGCTTAAATTACTAACTTCAAGTCATTATTTTTGTTACCTAAAAATAAATTCAGTTTATTAACTGATATTGATTAAGGGTAAATTTGTGGATGGAGCCAAGAGTGTTGTTGCATGAATGGGAAAGAGGCTGTTGTGCAGGGTGAAGTCCTTATCTCGTGCAATTTTTGGTTTTGATGACAATCTACAGTATGTTGATTTGTTTGTTGTCTGGAAATTAGCACACTGAAAGTTGCTGTTTAATATGCCTTTGGCGATGGCTCAGTTACAAATTCAGTGCTAGCTGCCTTTTAATATCTTCATAAATGCATGTATCCATTTTTTGATTGATAATTGTCCCAAAGGGATTTTAATTCCTAGATAATTGGAAGTGCTTTGTTTATTAGGCTAGTAAACACACAGCCTGCAAATTCAAGAATGCAATTTTTTTGCATAGACTCACACCTTGAATTGTAAGATTTGTCCAACTTAAATTAATAGGTGTTTTTATGGACAGATTTTGAAATGGCTCATGTTAACAGTTCAGCACTTAACTTTTTTGTCTATCTGAAATAGATATGTAAAATGAAGGATTGTGGTTTCTTTGGTGAAATGAGTGAAGAAAGCAAGTGAATAGAAAACCTTCAGTTTTACAGCAAATGATGAAGTGATGATTCAGTAGATACTGTGTCTAGTGTCATATAAGCTCTTTAGATCAACTAATGTTGTAGCTGAAGGCACTCATTAAGTAGAAAAAGGTAATCCAGCCTCTCGTAGTTCTGCCACTTTTTTGTGCATGTCCTCACTTACGCGTTTTGTCACCATCTGCTGAACCAGAAGAAAGGTCTGGTCCAGTTGAGAGGGGAAAAAAGAACGTAGTGGGTTTTGGTTGTGTTTTTTTGTGTGTGCTTTAGTTTTCAGCTGGATAATTTTCTTGATCCAGTGGTGGTGTAGCTGCACAGATGTTTGAGTTGGCACAATGGGAGGTGGCTGAGTGGCAATGCATTTTGCTACACATCCCAGAGGAGAAATCTCTTTTCTGGTGCTCTTGGGCAAAGTTAAACCAACCTATGTGTGTATATATATATATGTGTGTGTGTATATATATATATATATATATATATATATATATATATATATATAAGTACATGTAAAAGGAATGGAATTTTCCTTCAAAGTAAGTTGGACTGTAAAGGGTTATAACATGAAGAAGACTTGCTGAATTCTGCACAAGCCAAATGTGATGTGCTTGGGAAGTTTTAGTTGACACACGTTGCAGTGATGCCAGGGCATAAACACAGCTGTTTTGGCAAGACAACATGCTATGTGGGATGGGTTTGTGGTGAATTTTTGTTTACACAATATAAAATATATCAACTGCCTACAGATCCCTGGGAGGGAGGGATTTGCTTTTGTTGAAGAAATTTTAGAACAATACCTGGCAGCATGATTTTGTTTTGGTGCGTCTCTAAGCAGGGTATAATGAACAATAAACTGTATTAGAAACAGTGACAATAACTCCTTCTCCCATTTTCCCAACTTGGCTTGGAGTGCATTCATACACATAAGAAAGATGACAGATATATCAAGGAAGCTTTTTCCATGCTTACTAATGTCTTGGAGGTTTGAGTGCCCTTCGGAAGTCTGTGGCTGTGAAGATAGCTAGCGCAGGAGTGAGTCAGGGCAGGATTTCCCCCCAAACACCCACCTCTGAGGTGGCCAATTACAGTCCTGAGGGCCATTTACCAGCATCAATATTGGCTGAAGGGACAGGGAAGGAGAGGGGAGTGCTTCTGCACGCTTGTGGAGCGGTGCTGTGCTGTGGACGCAGCCAGGATGCTGTCTGAGCCAAGCAGAGGAGGTGGGGCGTATTGTGATGAGAAGAGGCTTAGTTCCTAGGAGGCTGCAAATTTAGCCATCAGAAACTGTCAGGGGGTTTGAGCAGATCAAGACAGTCTTTCCTGGAAGGCCAGTCTAATCAAAGGGCCTGTAAGATTACTTGCTGTTACTTTTTTTTTTTTTCTTTTTAAATTTTGTAAAATTTTCCCCAAACTTAAATGGTGAGCTACTTCTATGCTCACCTGCATTTAGACAAAATAAGGATTTACCCCTTTGGTACAACCTTCATTTCCTAAAGGAACAGAAGCCTTTTGATTTATTGTGCAAGAGTAATGCTGCTCAGTTATTAATGGTGAAAAGTTCCGGCGAAGTACTTCTTAAAACCCTTGTAACTGAGAAAATGCACCCTTGTGGCTGCTATACACATGATATCAATTCAAATATATCTGCTTCGTTAGCCAAATACTAATTTGGCCTTAAAACCATCAGTATCCTGAATTTGCATTTTTTTAAATTGATCAGAACTGGAGATGAAAATTTCATTGCCTGGTAATTTTGAAATTAGACAGACAGCCCATTCAAAGGAAGAGTTGGGGGTGGTTGGATTGGGGATTTTATGTGTGTAGACTTGCATGTGAACCATTAGGATTTTTTCTGGAGCACATAAAAGAGAAAACATATTCTAGGTTGAGCTAAACAAAGGCCTCCCTGTTGAGATTTTAGGCATATTCTTTTCATTGTTCTAATGGTTGTCTGACAACTGCTTTCTTAATAAGGCCGTGTTTCACAAAGTGATTAAGTAATAGGATTAATTTTCATGTAGTTTTAAGTTTCCCAGTTGAAATATGCATGGCTCTGAATACATTATGTTCCTTTCTTTTGTACTGGAAGACAGAATAAGTATTTCCATGAGTGGTGGTGTGGTGAAGTCTAGAGTAGGGTCTGGCAGGGTCTGGGTCCTTCTGGAAGATTGGTGGCTTGTGGGAAATGGTGGGGCAGCAGATGACAATCCTTAGGTGCTGACCTCTTGATGCATTTTTCCAAATGCATTTTGCTTGCTCTTTATATTCAAATGAGGAATCAAGAGTGCAGAACAGAAAAGACAGTTGTGTAAAGGTGGTCAAACGTGTTTTCACAGTTACTTCAATCTTTTGTCAGAGAGGAACTGAGAACTCTTGTTGTCACAGGATGCGATTTCCAGGTCTTTTTGCATGATGAATGTAATCAGAGGGGAGCCCTGTGCTGTGAGTGGGAAGTGCTGTCCTAAGGATTTTTCTACACTGTTTTTCTACAGGAGCATTGCTGAGTACCCGATGAAATACCACGTTGGTTCAAGCAGATACAATTTGCTCCCTCAATCAGTATAGGCTGTTGGACTAGAGAAAAAAAACCACCACAACTCACCCCCCACTCCCCCATGCGAAGTGTATATAGCTTGACCATTCTTAAGCACAGGAACATATTCCAGTTGGCCTGACAAAATTTTCATCTCCTCTTCCCATTAGATCCAGAGTACAGAGGGGGATCTACCACATGTTCCAGCTTCTCACCAACTGGCAGTGACCAAGTCAAGGAAAGGTGAGTAGACTTCAATTCCTGGGAGACAGCTGTCTGCTGAGTGTCCTTCCCTCCCTGAAGTGCTGATTCAGATATTTCAAACATCTAAAGTTTCTTTTCTCTTTAGAAATAAAGAGATCTGGGATGCTTTTTCAGCTAAATCACAGAACTTTACTGCGAAGTGGCAACAAAATTACAGGCAAGACAACAGCCCTATAACCTCACTGGCTGTTTTCACTTTTGTACAATTGATGATAGCTCAAAGGGACTGAAATGTTAATTCAGATTGTGTGGGATTTTTTTTCCCTGACAGATCCTGTAATTTAAGATACCCATTTAAACTAAAATCATATTATTTTAAACCTAAATTGCATGATACATCCAGCTTTTTCCTATGTGCTATTGCTCCGTCTGCAAGCTGGCTGCACATGAGTGGTGTCTCTGCACCCACATGGAAATTGTAGCCCTTCACATAGGAAACTGTGCTCTTGTGGCTCGCTTAGTTTGTGCTTTCATCTCAAATTCTTATTAATGTATTTTATGGCTTGGGAGAGGGACAAAGCCAATCTTTAAGTTCACTTTGTGATTGGTACTTTGCCCAGTGTTGTTAAGTGAAGTCGATTCTCTAGCTGTTACATGTAATTAGAGAAGAAATAGAGCTGCTTGTGTTTAGTGAGATGTTTAGCTGCAATCAATTTCTTGGTGAAACATGACTAGCATCTCCAGATGCTAGAGACGCAGAAAAATCAGTATTAAACGGAGATCATCTTACTTGCCTTTGTACAAATGAACTGACAGTCTTGTGAACTGTCAGCTGAATTGCGTTAACGTGGTTGAGAAGGCTCTGGACTACGCACTGAAGGTTAATGCCTGGTTATTAGGGATAGCTTGTGCTACTAGTTCAGCAGTGTCTTGCACCACACAGCATTGCACTTGCTAGTCTAACTCTGTTACAAACATAGGCCACCCAGAAGGACTGCTAGAAACTCTGTGTCTGGCTGTTCCCGCGTTTCTCCCTTGGCTGTATTTTAAAGTTCATGATTACATGCTTCACGTGATTACATATGAAGCGATGCACTCTTTACAGGTCAGGTCTCTTGTTTGCCCATACTTGGCAGTTTCAGAAAGAGCCTTTCAGAGAAAGGCAACTTAAGGAACTGGGAGCTGCAGTCAGGGAGGAGAAAAATACATTATTTTATCTTCTGAAATGCTAATTTTGTGTTTCTGTTCCCAGTAGCTACCTTACTCTCTTCTTCCTGCATGCAAGGAAAAAAAAAAAAGTCAGGTGGTCCTGTGTGTACCTGCTGAAAGGTACCAGGAGTTCTAGCAATGGGTCTTCAGTATGGCAGAAGCATGGCGTGCTGGCTCATGTTTCCCATCTGTTATATTCCACCCATTTCTGAATACACTTGGCACAGATTAGCGATGACACTTCGTTACCATGCAAGTATTGTCTAAGAGTTTTCTTGTTAACTAACAAGGATGTCAATGCTGATGTGCTAAAAGTTAGTCTGAGACCAACATTTTATTTCACCTGGAAGATGTGGAAAGCTTAGGTCCTTGTCTTATGTGGGTTTCAGTAAAACTGCCAAGAGGGAGAACATTTGGTGGAGAACATAGCCAAAACATTGAAAAACAGTAGAATTTTTTTTACAAGTTGTGCAACATGAGACAATGTAGTGGCCTGTTTTTTCAGAGTGGGTGCTCACCAACTTTGAAGGCATCCCAAGATAATGGTCACATTAAAAATGCTGGCCATTGTGTCTGAATGTGAAATGCCACTCTCACTAGCAATCTCTTGAGGTGGGATCGGCATGAAATTCAAGCACCAGCCTTCTGTTGCAATGTGATTTCAGTTGATGATCCTCATACAGACCCATCTCTTTCAGTGGTGTTGGCTCTACTGTATATAAGCACCCATAAATAAAAAGTTCGTTCCAGATGAGTGCTTCCACTGAAAGAATATGTTTGTACTCCTTTTTTTTTTTTTTTTCTTCA